TAAACCGCCAGGGAAGATCAACAAGTGAGAACAATTCGGGAAGACTTGGCGTCTCGAATTAAAATCTGGATCAAAGAAACCTCAAAGAAAAAAGATGAAAAAGAGGAACTATTATCTCTCACGCCCGAAATCGATCAATTAAAATTAAAAGCTCCAGCATTAAACGACGAAATCTCTGTAGATCTCCATCCGAAAGCAGGTTCTCGCGACGATTATTTTAAGGAATACCAAAATTTCACTTGAGCGGCCCTTTCAGCTGCAGCGGTATTATTCAGCGACATCTTGAATGACCAAGCGGTTCCACTCGTGAGAGAGGACATTCTCAAAAATTTATCAAGCATCACCAAAATTTTGGCAAACCTATTGGGGAACTTGACTCTAGCGAGAAAAACCTTCATAATTGGGCGCTACGATGAAAAACTGCAGAAAATTCTCAAGAAAACAGAACCGACCGAGTGGCTATTTGGAGACAACATGAAAGGGTTGATCGAAACATCAAAGGCAATGGAAAAGGTCTCAAAAGACCTCAAGTCAAAATCGAAATTCCCTCTAAGACCTAACATCAACGCTTTAAACTGGAGGAGCTCCACGATCAGGAAGGAAGTGGGTCGGGGAGGCTACAACTCCAGCAATCAGCGAACCAACACTTCCAGACAACCGAATCAACAATTCAGACAACGACAACCTGCGAAGAAACATTACAACCAAACGCAGCCGCAAAGGAACAGGAACTAAACGAAATTCTGGTAAGCAATACAGCAGCTAGATTAAAAAATTTTGTACGAAATTGGGAAAAAATTACCCAAGATAAGTTCGTTTTACAAGCCATTCAAGGCTATAAATTAAATTTTGAAGAAATACCGATTCAAATCAGGGAACCCCTAACCTCAAAACCAAGCATAGAATTGGACGGGGCAATCAACAGATTGTTAGAAATTTGAGCAATTGAAATTTGCCGATTTTCAAAAAACCAATTTCTCTCCCCATATTTCTTGCGCGAAAAATCTGACGGATCATTACGATTCATCTTAAATTTAAAAAATTTGAACAAGTTTATTTTTAAAGAACACTTTAAAATCGAAGACATCAGAACGGCAATGAACTTACTAGACACAGACGATTACATGTGCAGACTAGACCTACAAGACGCGTACCTTATGGTCCCAATTGATATAGAAGATAAAAAATATCTCAGATTCGAATACGATAATAAAATTTACCAATTTAATGCATTACCATTCGGATTAACATCGGCCCCCTTCGTATTTACTAAAATCGGCAAACAACTGGTAAATTGGTTAAGAAAAAAGGGAGTCAAGGTGGTAATATACCTTGATGACTTCCTAATATTCGGTGAACTACACACAATCTGACACTATAAAAATTCATTTAAATTAATAGTTATTAGGCACTAATTACATTAACAATTTGCAGAATTAAGCACTTTGATTAATAATTAAACAAGAATACACGAGTTTTTATTGAATTTATAATATTTTCATACACAAAATTAATGAGAAAACACGCACTTGAACTCACAGGTTAGCATTCACTTTTCACATTAATTATTATTTAATTAAACCATATTTTCACTCAATTATTTCACAAATCAACTAAAATATCAATAAACTTTCATTAGCAATGGTTTATTTCATCATATTTCATTGTCTAGCAGCAAAATTATGCTTCTGATCAAACCTAATCAAATCTTGATCAAATCCGGTCAAAAAGCGATTTTCTTAAACCGCCAGGGTTGTAGTGGATTGGAACCCAAGTACAGTGACGCTTCATCCAATAGATTGTCGCCATTTTGTTCCTCTGTTTCAGCGATTTCGCCGTCTTTTTCCAGTTCGGGTTCTATCATTTTTATTTCCTCGTTTTCTTTTTCCCAATCTTCAATATCTATGGGAAAAAAGAAATTTTTATGAGGTTTTGCCTTGATTTTATAATCAGGGCGATTTTTTATAGTTCTTGTCTTCAATTCGAGAGAGAAGATCTGAACTTTGCTTGGCGTTACGTTCCCACTTCTAGATTGGGAATCCGCCTTTTTTGTGTGATTGAGAAAGGCATTTTTTGCTTTTTTTGTTCACTAGACTTACCTTGTATTTCAAGATCATCCTCTAATTTTTCTAATTCCTCCATTTCAGCGAAGTCGAGATTTTGTTCCTCCTCTAGTTGCTGCAGCCTTTCTTTCAAGAATAATTCTTTTTGTGCTTTGCTCATTTTCGTGTGTGATCGTCACCGACGCCAAGAAACGAATGAAGCACGAAAGGAAGGAAGCCTGAGAGCAGGAAGGAAAGAGGGAGCTCTTTCAAATAAAAAAAAAAGAATCTGAAATGTGGCGTCACCATCGACAAGTCGCGGTACTATCTACCTAGTAAAATATATCTTCGAACAAGTTCGATGAAATATAATCTTATTTGGGGTCACATATAACAAAAAAAGGACGCTCATTAATTTTTCCAAAGAAATATTAATAAATTATTAGTAAACAACAATATTTTTAATTGATATGTTATAAATTTTATATTTTTCGTCCAATTTTGATAAACTTAGGCTTTTATATTATCTAAAATCAATCATCTTCAATCAGCAATAATTAAAATATTTAAAAAGGATTTACTATATAACTTAATAGAACGAACATGTGTGAATAGAACATGTGTGAAATTCAAAAAATCTTTAAAAAATTAAATATTTTTCAAATTCTAAAGTAAAATAACGTAAAAAACATTTCTAAAAAATGAAACGAAAACTAATCTTTTTTTATCTCATTTTTTGAAAATGCTTCTTTAAAAAAAATAAAATAAAACTGACCGTGACCACAAAATAGGCTATATAGCAATTTTTTAACAAACTATACATTTTTCGTGTAAATTAGATTTAAAACCTGCTTACCAATAACGTTATTTTAACTTCTTTAATTAAATTTCACAATTTAAAAAATGTTGTCAAAATTTTTTTCATGTAAATGAATATTGTGTATAGTAAATATTCAATTAATTAGATAATTAATATTAAAATTTTAAAAATTCAAGTTTGTTTATCAATTAAAATTTTCTTCAAAACTCATGCATTTTACGACACGCCCAAAGTAAAATAATCATGTTAAACCATGTGACAACCTGGACATGAGATTTAGAAAAAGTAGAGGTAAATATACATTTAATTAGTTGACGTGAGTCCAAATCGTATTGGGAGCACAATATGACGAAGTTTCCACAGATTGGGTTGCGTGTATTGGCGAAAAGGTCCACTAGCCTGCGATGAGCCATGCCTCACAGAGACGATAAAGCGAGCGAATCGAGAGGAAAATCAATGGACTTACCAGTAGTTAAGTACTCTCAGAATGGACCTCTCTGATGAACCTTGGAGCAATAATTATTGTTATCCTGTTAATTATGGACATGGTATACTTTCTGTAAATAAATTGTTAAAACTTTTTTCTATCAGAATAACCAATCAATATAAAATTAATTTTTTTATACGTAAGCCCCCTTTTCACTGTCCAGGTCACATATATTTCAAAAAGTTAACGAAAATATTATAGTTAAATACATAAAATAAATAAAAAATTTGAGGAGTTAATGGCAACCGAAATTTGAGGGTAAAATTTTGCGATTTAAAAATGAACTGCAAAATTGATTTAATAAACACGTTTTTTTCAATTTATCACTTGTATTTGTCACCGGTTAAGAAATAAAGTTTAGAATGACGGACAAAAATGATTTAATTATATAAAATTGTAAAGAAAATTTTTACTCAATTGATTAGGAATTACTTAAACTATATAATAATTAATTGATATTGCTGACAAAAAATATTATAATAATATAAAATTTTTATTAATTTTAAAGAGTTTAAAAAAAGAAAAAATTTATTTCACCAAATCATATTTCTTCTTTTTTAATGAAATAATTCATCATCCATAAACAACATAATCAATAATTGGTCATTTAATTTTTATGATTTAACATTTGTCATCTAGGTTAAGTGTGTAGCGGTAGCGCAATATTTTTATTGAAAAATTATGTTTTATAAATTTGGTTTTATATTTAATTTTCCCATATAACATTACACACTACACACTTATTGTTAGTCATTTGAAAATCATATTTTAATTTTTATTTTACAATCTATTTGCTTAGGGTAGAATTCAATACCTTCGTATTTCACAAATGTAGTCTAGTAGACTAGACTACTTAATAGGTTTTTAATGGTGTCCCTTAGTGTCACATTCAATCTGCTCTAATATTATGAAATGAATGAGATGCTTTAATTCTCATTTATGTTAATGTGATTTTAATAGGTTTTTAGACTATAAGAAGGGTGTACCTTATGTACAGGACACTCAGTTCAAATTTGTCCGTCACGTATTGCCGATCGTCATTTTTGTATAGTTTTACCAGAACACACTTTCAACAAATATTCCAAATTTTATTTCACTAATGTCTGGCATAATAAAATTTTATATCATAGTGTTAAATATATTGTGTAACTTGTTAAATTTCAGTTTTGGATTTCAATTCCTTTACCTATCCCACAAATTGGTGACCCCGACGTGATCGCGAAATATATCGTGGGAAGTTTAAAAAAAAAGTGAACCGCAATATATAGTGACAGTTGTGTTTAAAAAATTTAGTGACGATATACAGTGCCAAAACACACCGGCAGTACACATTACCAATACAGTAAAAATTAGTGACAGTGTTCAGTGTCAATACACATTGACATAAGAGACAATAGTTTTTTTTTTCTTCTTTTTCACCCAAGTGTCATATATATACATATACATATATATATACGTGTGTATGTCATATGTTTAGATATATACATATTGTGCGTGTATATACATGAACGTACGTGTGTGTATATAATTTTTTTTTTCTCTCAAGACAATTCTTCAGTGACAATTCTTATTCGTTAGTGTGATTTTTGTATGTGCATTTAATAAGTGTCACTCACGTTGATAAGATTTTTCATATATATATAAATATAAAATGACGGGAAATTCAGTAAGTAATGAATCTGTAGATAAAATCGCGCTTAAAATACCACCTTTCATGCCCGCGGATCCTGAATTTTGGTTTTTGCTGCTCGATACCAGCTTCGATTCTGCGGGAATTACGCAAGACTCAACGAAGTTCGGTCACGCGCTAAGTGCATTAGACCCACGCTACACGGTGGAAATTCGCGATGTGCTCTTGAAACCAAAGGCTGAGAGGACGTTTGAGCTTCTCAAAACGGAACTCATTAAATGTTTGGGCGCTTCGAAAGAACACAATACACGTCGCCTCCTAGAGAATGAACCGCTCGGCGACAGGAAGCCAACACAATTCCTGCGACATCTCCGCAACCTGGCAGGAGATAACTTCCCAGAAGAGATCCTACAGACGCTTTGGCTAGGCCGCTTGCCTAAGCATATGCAAGCCATGCTTGCAGCACATAAGGATCTTCCCCTGGACAAGCGTGCTGACATCGCAGACTCGGTCGCGGACGCGTATGGAAGTTTGTGCCATGTCGCGGAATCGTATACGCCAAGTGCAACAGCGACAAATTCCACTGCTGGAACGTCAAGTGATGCCCGGATTGCCAGTCTTGAACAAACTCTTGCGTTAGTGCTTCAAAAATTTGCGTCCCTGGAAGTTAGTCAAGTGTCACGTGGACGAGATCGCTCTAAGTCAAAGTCGCGATTTAAATCTCGTTCGCGTTCCAGAGGTCGCCGTCAGCAATCCAGTGAAATATGTTGGTACCACTGGAAGTTCGGCAACGACGCGCGAAAATGTGAAAAGCCGTGCAAGTTCACTAGTGCGGAAAACGATTCGGGAAGTCGTTAATGTCGGCCGACGACATCTCTCCCGGAAAATCGCGCCGACTCTTTGTAACCGACGAATCTTCGAAAACAAGGTTCCTTATTGATACAGGTGCGGATCTGTGTGTGTTTCCGCGAATTGGCGATTCAAACAGCTACACTAGCGCCACAGTTGAACTAAATTAGGCGTGACTCGCTCTGTAGCACTCCATGTGTTTTAAATTATTTTTTTTTATTTAACGCTTAAAAATTATTTTACAAACGCAATAAAAATATCAGAATAATTAAATAATTTGAAATAAACTGTCACAACAGAGACTGCTTTAGAGCGAGTCACGCCTAAGTTAGTTCAACTGTGGCGCTAGTGTAGCTGTTTGAATCGCCAATAGAACTTCCTCAACCACGGGCAAAAACAACATATGAACTTTTCGCGGCCAACGGAACTGTCATACCCACTTACGGAACACAAATTCTAAATCTAAGTTTAGGTTTGCGCCGTCAGTTCACCTGGAGATTTGTCATCGCTGACGCGGAAAAGCCGATCATCGGTGCTGACTTCCTGGCACACTATGGACTCCTAGTGGATTTGCAGAAACAACGACTCCTGGACCAAGCAACTCATCTTACCTCCCAGGGCGAGGTGATTGAGTGCGAGGTTCTCAGCATCAAAACTGTCACAGGGACATCACGCTTCCACGAGCTTCTCCAACGTTATCCGGAGATAACACGTCCAGATGGCGCCACCAGGTCAATCCAGCACTCGACCAAACACCACATCCTGACAACACCAGGACCACCTGTCGCGCAGAAACCACGACGACTCGCTCCCGACAAACTGAAAATTGCCAAGGCTGATTTTTGTACTCTGGTCAAGCTGGGAATTGCTCAACCTTCCAAGGCTTCCTAGTCCTCACCACTGCATATGGTCCCGAAAAAGGGGGACGAATGGAGACCATGTGGTGACTATCGTGCTGTCAACGCGAGGACCTTACCTGATAGGTATCCGATGAGGCACATCCAGGATTTTTCACACTCTCTTCAAGGTAAAGCAATATTCTCAACGATAGATCTGGTTCGTGCCTTTAACCAGATTCCAGTCGCCGAGGAGGACATCCCGAAGACTGCCATCACCACGCCGTTCGGACTCTTCGAGTTCAAGTTCATGACCTTCGGGTTGAGAAATGCGGCGCAGACCTTTCAACGTTTCATGGACGAGGTGCTCCAGGGTTTAGACTTCTGCTATGTATACATTGACGACATCCTCATAGCTTCTGCAACACCGGACGAACATCAGCGCCACCTGGAGGTTGTCTTCAACAGATTGAAGAAGTATGGTGTCGTTGTCAACCCAACGAAATGTGTGTTTGGACAACCCGAGGTCAAATTCCTCGGGTATCTTGTTTCAGCTGCAGGAACCAGGCCATTGCCGGACAAGGTGGAAACTATTCGTGCCTTTCCACGCCCTGAAACAGTCAAGCAGCTGCGCCAGTTCCTGGGGATGCTCAACTTTTACAGGCGTTTCCTACCTAGTGCCGCCAAGGTCCAGGCACCGCTCAACAACATGCTCCAAGGCAACGCCAAAGGAATAGCTCCGGTACATTGGACCTCCGACTCCATCAAGGCCTTTGAAGTAAGCAAGGAAAGCCTCGCTGAGGCTACTCTGCTTGCTCATCCCGATCCTGACGCACCTTTGGCTATCTTCTGCGACGCCTCCGACTTTGCCGTTGGAGCCTCCCTGCAACAACTCGTTAGTGGCAACTGGCAGCCGCTAAATTTCTTCTCTAAGAAGTTGAGTCCTGCTGAATGTAAATATGGGGCTTACGACCGTGAGCTTCTCGTGATTTACTTGGCCATCAAGCAGTTCAGGCACATGGTGGAAGGAAGATCCTTCACGATATACACTGATCACAAACCGATCACCTATGCCTTCCAGAAGAAGAATGATCAGTGTTCTCCACGACAGTTCCGCCATCTGGAATTCATCAGTCAGTTCACAACTGACATCCGCCACATCTCTGGAGAGGACAACGTCGTAGCAGATGCTCTCTCACGCATCTCTGAAGTCGAAGCCGCTCTGAATTATAAGGCGCTGGCAGCCGCTCAGCGCGATGACGAGGAGTTGAAGATCATCCTGGAGAACAGAGAATCTTCCCTGCAACTAAAGCTGATCCGGATTCCAGATGCAGATGTGTCAGTTTTCTGTGACATTTCTACGAGGTCAGCACGACCCTTTGTTACAGAACAGTTCCGGAAAGCAGCCTTCAACGCCATTCACCATCTCTCACATCCTGGAGTTAAATCAACGGTCAAGCTCGTAATCCAGCGTTACGTATGGCCGTCGATTAAGTCTGACTGCAGGAATTGGGCCCGTAGCTGCATCGAGTGCCAGAAATCAAAAGTTTCACGCCATGTCTCTTCACCTGTCGGCAGCTTCGCACCACCGTCAACCAGATTCGAGCATGTCCACCTCAACATTGTTATCATGCCTTCTTCAGAAGGTAAACGTTACTGTCTCACCATGGTTGACCGATTCACTAGGTGGCCAGAAGCTGTTCCGATGGAAAACCAAGAAGCCGATACTGTCGCTCGAGCCTTCTACAACACCTGGGTTGCTCGATTTGGAACTCCACTGAGGATCACGACCGATCAAGGACGTCAGTTCGAGTCGCACCTATTTAAACAACTTAATCGTTTATTAGGTACTACTCATCTTCGGACAACACCTTACCACCCATCTGCCAATGGAATGGTGGAACGTCTTCATCGGCAGCTGAAAGCTGCAATCATGTGCCATCAATCCAACCGATGGACTGAAGTGCTGCCAACTGTCCTGCTTGGAATTCGAGCAGCATGGAAAGATGACATCCATGCAACATCAGCTGACTTAGTGTATGGTCAGACCCTTCGCCTCCCTGGCGAATTTCTTGGTGTCAGCAGCAGCAGCGATGACAATATTCACAATCCAACAGATTTTGTCGTCGTGCTTCGTCAACAGCTGCGAGATGTCAAGCCGTGTGCAGGATCCCGTCATGGAGCAAGGAAAACATTTGTCTTCAAAGATCTTGCCACAACTGAGCAAGTTCTAGTAAGACAAGATTCTCCTAAACAACTGTTACAACAACCATATGATGGCCCCTTCAAGGTCGTCAAAAGGTTTGAAAAGACCTTTCTTATCAACATCAACGGCCGGGACGTCAATATTTCCATAGATCGCCTCAAACCAGCTTTTGTGATGGCTGACAATCATGAAGCTATTGTCGATCCACCTCCACATACGAGCATCCAGGAGGATGCACCTTCGAGGCAGATACCAGCACCAGAACGAGAGGAGAATTCGCTACCACACTCTACAAGATCTGGCAGACGCGTACGGTTCCCTGATCGTCTGCAGGGTGGTTTTTCGTAATCGTTAACCACTAGCAGGGGGGTACTGTAGCGGTAGCGCAATATTTTTATTGAAAAATTATGTTTTATAAATTTGGTTTTATATTTAATTTTCCCATATAACATTACACACTACACACTTATTGTTAGTCATTTGAAAATCATATTTTAATTTTTATTTTACAATCTATTTGCTTAGGGTAGAATTCAATACCTTCGTATTTCACAAATGTAGTCTAGTAGACTAGACTACTTAATAGGTTTTTAATGGTGTCCCTTAGTGTCACATTCAATCTGCTCTAATATTATGAAATGAATGAGATGCTTTAATTCTCATTTATGTTAATGTGATTTTAATAGGTTTTTAGACTATAAGAAGGGTGTACCTTATGTACAGGACACTCAGTTCAAATTTGTCCGTCACGTATTGCCGATCGTCATTTTTGTATAGTTTTACCAGAACACACTTTCAACAAATATTCCAAATTTTATTTCACTAATTTCTGGCATAATAAAATTTTATATCATAGTGTTAAATATATTGTGTAACTTGTTAAATTTCAGTTTTGGATTTCAATTCCTTTACCTATCCCACAAGTGCATCAATTACGGTGCGTGAGTCAATTGTGGCGCGCTTTAAAAAATAACTATTATTTAATATTATAATTAATATAACTGTTTCAAAACGATTGAAAATATTATGTAAACGTGCCGTACGTAATAAAAAATTTAAGTATTAATTTTAATTTCTTATGTTTATTTAAATAATCGGTTTTTTTAAAAAAAACTTTTTTATTATCTAAATAAATAAGCTATTGGTTTAATAAGGCGGAAATTGATTTTTTTAATATAAACGTGGAATTTCCAATTTCAAAAGTGTCTTAACTATAATCGTGTCGTAATCAGTGCATTTGCCTTATACATTGTAAAATTATATATCATATTATATGTAGATAATTAATAAAATTGTTTTCTAACGGTAAATGTTAATCTTACAGGCTATATTTTGGTCCTTACGAATTTAAAGTCATTTGTATTTTTTTTAAATGGGAAAAAAATTTGCATACAAATAATGGACGAAATAAAAAAGTATATATATATACATATACATGCTTTATACAATATATTGTTTAAAGATTAAATAAATATGAAATTTATTTTTTCCGAATATATAAAAATAACAATACAATAATCTGATTTGATTCTAAATAAAAATAAATAGGTATTCTAACTAATTTATTTTATGGAATAATAAATCATGCACCTCAAATTTTGATGTATATGTGTTTTAAAAATACATAACCATATACTGTCTTTATAATTATCATAATAATAACCAAGTAAAATTAAAAATTCTTCATTTCTTTTTTTAGATTACGAAACCAGTATTTTAATTTTGAAGGCTACATATACATTTGTAATAAAAATGTTAACGATTTAAAGTAAGTAATAATTTTATTGCAGTTGTATAATAATAACTTTGTTTTAACAATATAATTTTTTCCTGTAATAATTCAATGTACAGATACCTGAAGTGTAGAAATAAAAAAAATTGAAATGCCCAGGGTCTGGTAAAGTCCTAAGAAATGGTGTATTTCAAATAACAACTGCACATAATCATCTAGTTGACCCAAGAAAAGAGGAAATAATTTCAGTCAAAGAGAAACTATTAATAGCGGTACCAAGCAACCCGATAATGTAAAAGAGTTTTTCAGCATTAAAATTAATCTGTAAGTTTATTGAATTTAAATTTATTCAACTTTTAAATTAATTAAAAAAAATTTTAAGCCTGCACATTTTGTTCTAAAAAATTATGCTTAATATGTAATTCAATTTTAATTCACCAAAATGTCTCCATAGACAAATTTAAAATTAATGAAAACTGTACATATTTTATTGCATGTTTTAAAAAAACACTAAAATTTAAAAATCATTCTCAAATATATATTAAATATGAATTGAACATTGTTAATGTAGCAAAAATATTTTGGACCACGCACAAAATGCATTGAAAGAAGATCCCAGTCGATTTTTTTGAAAATTGGCAAAAATGTAGATTTTTGTATTTTGAACAAAAAAGTTATGTGGTAAAATCCAAAAAAATGTACAGTTTTCGAGCTACATTGGCTCAAACATGGCAAATACTAAACTTACGTATTACATTGATATTAATGTTTAGTTGAAATAAATCGGTCATAATATACATAAACATATAATATATATATATATATTACTTTTTATTAATATACATAAACATATAAATATATAATATACATATACATAAACAGATAAATGGATGGATAGAAGTATAGATGGATAGATTGGTAAATGGCTAAATACATGGAGTACAGACTAAACAGATAGGTGCATACATTTCCAGAAGGATTAAAGATATATAGATGGATGGATGGATTGATACTGAAGTAATTAATCTTTGGTTACTATCTATCCATCCATAATATTAAACCTTATAAATAACTAAAAGTTGATTAGCGCTGGCAAGGACTCTACGATTTCGCCTGT